AATCATATTTTTAAAGCGTCAATCATTAATGCAAAGTTTTTATTCCAAAGATTTTAAACAACATGTAGTATGATCACAAAGCATATCGCATACAGATCACCTAAACAGTGTTTGGATGAAATTTAGAACGTCTATGTTCTAGAACGAAGAACGAAGAATACGATAGAACGAAGAACGTCTATGTTCTGTAGAACATGTTATGTCTATATGTCTATGTCTGTAGAACAATACACATTCTTTTCTTTGAAGTTGCTATCGTTTGCATTGAGTTCTTAAGCAGAGTTTGAAAGTCATCTGCATTGCATAAAATGGCAATGTCTCTAAGGTATGCGACGAAATAACAAAGTTTATTTTTTCGTCGTTAATAAAAGACTAGAACATTGGCGTGCCGTGATTTTAATCGACAGCTCACGAACCGCGTTGGTGGTCGCCTGAGAGAGGTGAAATGTAATAATAGTATTATTTACGTCCAAATAACTGATCTCTTTCAGAAGTGGGTGTCTTAGGAGGTAGTCACGAAAATGTTTAATAATGTTCGTTTCTAAATTTGATTCAACAGCAGAATCACAAAGTATTTAAAAACAGCATATCTTAAAAATTTCAGTTAGGTTAAATATTTTAAAATTTACAGTTTTAGTTAAAATTAGGAAGTCTCGCGCGCGGGAGATAAAAATGTTTTTTTTTTTTTTCGTGTTTTAATCCGTTTTATTCTGTTTGCTTTTAAATCGTCTGTTAGAAAAGTCTGTTAAAAAAAGTATTTAATGTTTTACAAAATACGAATAAATCATAAAAATATATAACGTCATTCTATGAAAATAGTTGATGTTTTTAATTAGATTGATCTTGAAATAAAATCACTTTTATTATTTAAATCGATCCGATTCAAAAGTAAGAAACGAATATGATATTTAATACAGAAAGGTATATATATCGCTTTCAAATAGCTTAGTGTATTAATCGCGTTATTTTTGAAATAGCCCCTGATTTCATTTCTGCTGAAAAGTCATTTTAAATCACAACAATAAGAAAAACCTATAAGAATAATCACTTATACAATATTTGAGAACTTATTGCAAAGTTTAAGATAAGAAAGAGAAAATGGAGCAAAAGGAAACCGGAAAAACAGTTTTCAGGTTAGGAACACAATGTATTTCTATAAGAAAAAATGAATATATTGTGAGTTTTGAGATGTTTATGGTCCCTTTCTTATTTAGTTTTTATTCAAAGCAATTACCTTTAAATCATTAGCTGCTTTAAAATATGCGATATTTCGTTTTAATTTTTTGGTCTGAATCAATTTTTTAGCACAAAGCGGCGATTTGCCCAGAAAGGCTGTAACTTCGTTTCGGCATTTTGCGTTGATTCACTATAAACGGCAAATCACTTTTTACAGTGTTTTTAAAGTGTTACCAAATATTATCACCCTGTATTATTTTTAAAGAAATTAAATAATTAAGAATCTGTATAAATGTTTGTATGTTTCTCGCATTGTGATAAAATAACCATCCAATTGGGATGGTTTTGGGATTGGGATGGTACCTAGAGCCATTAAATTTTGAATAACGTACGTCTCCACCCGAATATGGGCATCTGGAAGGCCAAATTTTGAATTTGTTTTATTATATATTTAATATTTTGTAAAGCATTTATGAGTTTTTGATTAAGAAATTCAGCGGTTTCAAAGCGAGCAGTGGCAACACTGCATGGTGTATAAAAAAGTTTTTACATCCAGCGCGGAAGACTGTGTATCGGAAATTCTAAAGTTATGTCCCATTTTAAATTATTTTTGAGTTGTTTAATTGAATTTTATGGTTTTAAGTGCGAAGAACATGATATTAATAAATAAGAACACACAACATTTAAAAACCACCTTATGGGCAATAATATAAAATCTAAAAGCTTACTTTTTTTTTTTTTTTTGTGTACTAAAGAGGATAGAAAACAAGATTCGAATAAGAATATTTTTTAAACAGATATTGACTCCTTCATATTCAATACGGGAAAAAAAAAAATTCATAAAATTTTCATATGAAAACGAATTTGAAACATGAAACAATTAAGAAAAAATTTAAGAAAACGTATTTATTTCCTTATATATATATTTCCTTATATATATTATAAATATTTTATTTCGTATTTTATCATAAACTTTAATTTAATACGACTTTGATTGATTCTATTCAAAATATTCCTTAAAACATTAAATATTATTAAATTCTTCCTCGCCATTTTGTTGCGAGACAAGGAACGTGATCGATAGTCGGATGCTTTTCGTTAAAGTATAACAGACATCTACATATTAAATACTCTGCTTCTTGTTAAAACAAAGTTTTCTGATTTCCAAAGCTTTTTTTTTTTCGGGGGAGGGGGCTCATACCAGTGTAATGAAACTTTTTTTAAATAATATAAATGAAATAAACAATAATAGTCGTGCATTCAAACTGTGTTATTTGAAACGTATTGTAAATTTGTTCTTACGAAGCTACAACGATGCACGATAAACCAATATTTTATGCACGATAAACCAATATTTTAATAATGCACTCCAAATCTTCTCACAAAAGCTATTAAATAACTAACTCTGCAATAGAAATTGTTTGGAGAATAAAACACAAATATACATATGACTGGCTATTCTCAGTGAATGAATTTATTCATATTCAAAATTTTTACAATTCTTTCTTTGGTAAGCAGCAGACGCGGTACGCATATATAGCGTACGTTTGGTATATACCACAGCTAGCAAGTCGCATGCGCCTCTCAAAGCCGAGTGGTGAGACTTTTACAAAAGAAAATATATGTATGAAATAAGGTAAACGAAAACTACTCAATGTCTAAAAGAAAGTAATTAAGTATTTCATTTCTTTTTTTTTTTTTTTTTTGAAAACTTATTAGCAAACTTAAACTGATCAATGTCTAAACGTAATTAATTTATTTCATCTTATAATTTTAAATATTTAATATTGTCATTGAAAAACATATATATTTATATATAAAATATGATACATAAGATATATATATGAATATATAGATAAAAGAACTATGTAAATCAGCTTTATGATTTAATTTATTTGATATTTCCTCTCTCCATTAAAAAATAATAACTTTCCTCGCCTGCACCATTTCTAGATAAATATATGTCACATGGCTTGTGTAACGCTGATGACGTAACTGATTCGGAACTTGAACTCAAAGTTTTGAGAACTGAAACCTTTATAACCTAAACAAAATCCTTTTCTTGGTGAGATTCAATACGCAGTAAAGTCTCTCCAAGTCATTAGCGCACAGAACCATCGTCAATCCATTGCAGCTTACTGCAAGTCATTTCATATTACGTATATATTGTTACGGTTTTTGTATTCATTTATTTAGTTTGCTATTTTTAATAGAATTTTTATTAATTTGTTTCATTTCCTCTTGCAATGCTGCTCGCGACTTATTTGAAGAGAAAACTACGCCGAAAAAAAGAAAAACACGGGAGCACGCGCATTTAATAAATAGATATCTGGTCATTGTACGTTTTTCCTTTTCGGGAAAAATCGAGAAAATACCATATAAGGTATTACTCCCATTTCCCTAGCGTGCCTTCGTGGTGTAACGGTAGCACGCTGGGCCGGTATTCCAGAGGTCCGTGGTTCGACTCCCGGCGAAAGCGGTTGCATATTTTTCATCTTTTCTGCTTCCAATTAACCTAATGACTCTACAACCAGACTATGCTCGTGCTGATTAAAAAGCTTATAAAATAAGAGAAAGAACATCTCAACTCAGTTGTTTTAGAAAACTGTTGTTGTTTCGTGTAGCGAATTCGAGGCGAGATTGGATTAGCCTTCTCTAGGATTCTCTGTTTTGAATTCAGTTCTGTTGAACGTTAGTAGTTTAAAAGATAACTACTGTGAGATACTGGGATATTGTACGAATATCTGAGGAAATTTAAGCATTTTGTTTTATTTGTTGCGATAATAATAAATTTTATTCATTTTTCATCGGACTTGTGCATTCAATTCATAACGAACGCGTACGCACGCAACAATATTATACCAATTTTATAGAAACAATTTTGTAAAGGAAATCTTTAAAAGTTAGATTTGCTTATGGATGCTTAACAGGAAAAGTCTACCGAACTTCTGAATCATTAACAGCGGGAGGAACTAAATTGGAGCAATAAACAGAAGACCCATGCGATGCATCAGAAACCTTTAATATCATATAGAATTTGATGCATACTAAAAATAATTTTTAAACCGGTTCAACGTTCGAATCGATGAGAAATTTGCAGCAGCTGGAAGCTTTGGCAATTTCTAATACATTTGATAACAATCATAACTTAGAAGATGATATTACCTTTTAGAAAACATCGGGAATCCACAAAATTTAAGAACAACAGATATGTGGCTTGGTTGCCTGGGAACGAGCATACAAGCGAATGACGGGATAATTTTAAGGTAGCAGAAAAACGATTGGAGTCGTTGTGACATAAAGACAAGAGGAATCTGAAGTTACATGACAAAGCTGTAACAGATCATTATTTACAAAAGAAAGTATGGTGGAAGAATAGGAGTATTTAAAAATTGAAAAAGAATACCGCATCAAGCTGTAATTACAGAAAATAAACACAACACAAAACTCCTCATTGTCTCTTTGACATGATGAAGGCAAATTCTCTTTAAATGGTTGTTTAGAATCAGAGGTTTCTTTCCATTTGACACCTGTTTCACAACTTTTAAAATGATGCAAGTATGGAGTTGTGGCTTTTGGAAAATCTAGTTGCGGCTCTCGACGTTTCCTGAATTCTGACATGCTGCCCTTTCTGACATGAAATATTGGCCACCCCTGGTATGTAGGATTCTGAGTTAATATTGTAATTCAGATTCCGATTCGGCAGATGTCATTTTGCGGTGACAGGAAGATCCTTCTTTCATACTGCCCATTCCAATCTGATAACACCTATTATTTAATATTCAATACGAAATTATACCTAACGCAAATTTATGTCTTCAGTTTTATATATTTGTAAATGCAATATGTCCAGCATTCTTGCTTAAATCTTTCGCTGGTAAAAGCGCACTTACTAAAGCTAAATCCTTGTTATAATAACGTAATAATGCTCGGGGCTCTATGAAATTCAACAGTCTCTCACAGTTTTATCAACAAAGAATTTTCTAAGTTTCCGGAAATCTGAACTTACATCTTCAGTAACTAAAAATCCTACCTGAATTTGGCTCTCCTTGTTTCATATTTGGCCTGTCGGAGGCGGCGCCATCTTCTGCTCGGACCAAAATGGCGTAGGCTTGCTTCTCTTCTCTGTCGAATTCTACCCTGGTGTAGATTTCGCCAGTTTCCCTGTCAATGGTGAAGAACTTGTCTCCTTGATCCTTGGACTCTATGGCATAATACACCTGGAATAGGAAGATTTGTACTTTAAAACAGTCTCTTTTCAAGTGTAGCTGACATTAAAATGCATGGTATTTAAATTATGAAGTCATAATAACAATAACGATAATAATAGTGTAGTAATAGCAGTAAATATATAGTAATACTAATTCTCCTTTCTACCTCTGTTCTCTGTTTCTGTTTCTAACGAACTCTAAATCTCATTTTCAAAAAGAAACTAGAAAATAAGGGAAAAAACTATCTTTATAATCATTTAAACAACCTTGAATTTTATATCATGAGAGACTAACAGATATTAAAGCTATTAGTTCTCCCATAGTTTCCTTGAACAGTTTCGTTTCGCCATCCTTTTGACAAGAGATGATAAATAGGAAAGCTCATTTTCTAAAGTACTTACATATGAAAATAATAAAGCCATATTAGAACAGCTATCTTAATCTTGCAAGAAAAGCTCCAACTATTGTTTTACAAGAATAAGATAGCTCAGTAAGAATAAAAAGGTCAACTAGGCAGTAGTGTTTCTCCATGGAAGTTGGTTATTCTAACTTAAAACTATTTTTACCATCAATGTTTCAAAGTGAAGATTAATTGTCTCAACTAGTTTGCCTTAAATTCTGCGATTTCATTATCCTTCTTGGCAAATTGATGGTATAAAATAGATGAAAATCTATTTTATACCATCAATATGTATATTTTACCGCAAAGGGCAATTTGCCCAGAACGGCTATTAATTTTGTTTTGCCATTTTGCATTGGTTCACTATAAATGTCGGTTCAATATTCAAATTGCTGCCACCGAATATTAGAGCCCTGTATTATACTTAAATAAATGAAATAGTGAAGAATGTGCATGAATGTATGTATGTTTCTCACATTGTGATAAAACAACGATACCTAGAGCCATCCAATTTTGAATGACGTAATCCTACTGCGAAATATGGGCATCTGGAAGCCCAAATTTAAAATTTGGAATTTATTTCATTATCGATTTCATATTTCGCAAACCTTTAACGATTTTTTTATCAATAAACTCAAGGATTTCAAAGCGAGCAATGGCAACGTTTTACAGAAAAAACATTTTTATCTCCAGCGCGTGAGACTGACTGTGTATCGGAAACTCTAAAGATATGCTCATTTTAAAATTATTTTGCGATATTGCTGTTAAATTGCATTTTATGGCTTAAGTGCGAAGAACATGATGTTTAATAAATAAAGGTAACACACAAAATATTAAAAAAAACACTCTTTTGGACGTAATTTAAAATCTGAAAACCTTTCAGATTTTCTTTTATCTTTTGATGAGTATAAATTTTATATTATTAATATTATCAGCAGCACCATCCTTATTATTGCAAAAAATATACTTACAGCTTTTTGGACAAAAGACGCATAGTTATGGCAATATACACTGGTTATCATAAATTAAGGAAAAATCACAAAAATCACGATTACTGAAAAGTTTCATGTAGAATTTTATGAAACTTACCCACAATATACAACACATAGTAAGGTATCAAATAACATAAAAAGAAATTACCAGATAATTATGGTAGCATAGAAATTAGCATATGTATAAAATGAACAAATCGAAGATGTCAGTTTGCTATAGTAAAAGTAACTTCAATATGGAATATAATCGCCTCTGGAAGCAATACAGCACATTCAGCGATGTGTGATGCTTTCAATTATGCGGTCTATCAATTCCATAGGAAGCGAGAGCCATTGCTCTTGCAAAGCAGTTGTTAGCGCGGCAAGGGTCTGAGGGGGCGGATTGAGAGCAGCTTGACGTCTCCCTAAAGCATCCCAAACGTGCTCGATATGATTCAAGTCCTGGGATCGAGCTGGCCACTCCATGCGCATAATTGTTTCCTGTTGAAGATAATCATATACGATGCGAGCCCTGTGTGGTCTTGCATTGTCGTCCTGTAACAGGAAAGCATCCCCTATTGCCCCGGCATATGGGCGCACATAAGCATCAAGGATGTCCTCTCTATAAACATGAGCATTCACGGTTCCCCTTGGAAAAACATGGAGGTCTGTGCGTGAACCCAAAGAGATGCCACCCCAAACACAGACACTGTCTTTTCCGTATCCATCTCTTTCACGGATGTTTGACGGATGATAACGAGTTCCAGATTCTCTCCTTATCAAATAACGCCTATTATCGCGTTCTAGACTAAACCTGGACTCATCCTTAAAGAGAATAGCTCTCCATTGCTCATGCGTCCAGTGTACATGTTTTCGTGTCCACTGCAAACGGTCCCTCCTATGGCGTGACTTAAGCAGCACGCAAATGGTTGTTCGCCTCGCATACAGACCACCTTCCTGAAGCCTTCTACGCACAGTTGACGTTGACACCAACCTTCTGGTGGCTGCAGCAAGGGAGGATCTAAGAAGAGTCGGAGTAGCGGTTCAATTCCTGAGTGCACATAATGTCAAATATCGGTCATCAGCGCTCGTCTTAGCAGTTGGCCGTCCTTGGCTGAACCTCCTAGTTGCCGAATCTGTGATTTGAAATTGCCTCCAAAGTCAACGAACCACAGAAGGATTCACATTTAGCCATCTGGCCACTTCTGTTCGACTTTTTCCTGCCTCTAGTCTCCCAATGGCTTTCTGTCGTAGTTCTGCAGGCAAGTGATGCCTGGAGATCATTGTTACGAATTGGCTATCTCAAATTTCTGATGTCAGTATCACTGTGAAATATGTGGGCTTGCTCTCAAACATGGACTTTTATGCTATGACGTATTCCGAGTGCAGCGCAGCTAATTTGCATATTGGAATTTTACTCAGCTACTCTTACTTGGCAATATATTCAAATTTTACACGGTTTGGCTTATTTTTGAGGGAGTTATTGCTATTTTTTTTATTTTTCCTTAATTTACGATAATCAGTGTATTAGTGCCCTGTTGCGCTAAAAATACATTTTAAAACAGAAATGAATGATACGCGAACTTCTTAAGAAACACGTAATTATAAACATGTTGTTCATTTGTATATGTTACGTTAATAAAACTTATATTCTTCCCAGATATCTTGGATGAAAATATAAAGCGTCTTGAATGTATCAGTAAAAAAGGAGAGACGAGTGAATATACTTTAGGTGCTTCAAATACCTGTTATTGTCAGAAACTTTCTTGAAGCCATTTTTGACACTAAAAAATATTTTTTACATTCCACGGAGTCCCTCCTCCAGGGATCATAATTTTTGCATTCATTTTAAGAATCTTCATGAAAAGAAATTTACAAAACGGAAATGCTTTCGTAGTGAGAAATATAAAATATTCCCTTACCAACCCTAAAGTGCTGGTATTCAAATATACATAGATTTCTCTACAAAGCCTGATTTAAAAGGATATATTCAACAATAAATCTGAATTTAAAATATATTGTCATTCTGGCATTCAGATCGATATTTTTGGCATTAGAGGTAGTCCGTACATCTCTAAGACAATTTAGCGTTTCGATTTTGTTCTACTACATTCAATCAGACTAAATCGAAAACTCTTTTTTCTGATATATTACTTTAATCAGTCATATCTCTTACGCAAATTAACGTTCCACTCTCTAGGTTCTCTAGTTAAAGCCAGATTTATCAGATGCTAGTTTGTAGAGTTCTGGGACATTGCATGCGACATAACGTCATAAAACATGATTATAGCATACGTAAAAGATCGCACGTGTAACATTCGTATGATCTGCGTATAACATGCGTAACATACGGATAATTTTGTGTATAACATACGGATAATTTGCACGTAACATTAGTAATACGTATAATTTCCCGTATAACATACGCATAATTTTCGATAACATGCGTATAATTTTGCGTATAACATAGATAATGGTTTCGAAACATGTCTTAGACATAATTTAGACATGCGCATAATTTCTTTTTCATATAGCAACTGCAAAACTCTTTCATGCAAATTAGAATTTTTCGAATTAGTTTATAGTACATATCGCACATACTATATTAAATTACCCATATATATTACTAGTAGGGTAGAAGACACAACTTTAAAGTATATACCGACTTGGGAGACAAAATTTTATCGATATTTCGAATTAGCTGAAAGCTTCAAGGTTTATTCAATTTCTAAATTTGAAGCTAAGATCTTAACTTTCTGAATTTCATCTCACGTGTCCTAGCTAGTATCAGAAATCATTGAATAAAGCTTCATATAATCTTTCAGCTTTAAGTATCAGAAATCACTGAATAGTCTTCACCGGAAGCTTAGCCAAATATTCAATAAAGAGTTTCTTAGTCCACGTTAATTTTGATTTCCTTTCAGCGGTTTCGAACGAATAGTAGTTATTTTAATCCTTTTTTGAAAGTTTTATCAATATAGATGACAATATTGACAATAGTGCAGTTACCTAATTTACTCCTGCTAATTATTAAGACACTACAGAACCATATATAATAGAAATTCGGTTTCGATACGAATAGTATTATTTCTGTAGTTCTTATTCAAGAAATAACGAACACAAACATTCTTTTTTTAAAAAACAAAAAGTATTAAATTTAATAAAATAAGAAAATAACAATCCATAATAAATGGTTTAATAATTACATGAAGCATTTTCTCGTGTTAAAAGTGGGAAACATTTACTAATTACCCTTAATATGCTGAAACTAAAACTCTCTTCTGTGAAGCAACTGTGCTATAATTGACTAATTGACTGTTAGATGGACAAGATAAATTATCCCCCAAAAAAGAATAAATCCTGCTTATAAGCTAATGCTATACACAGGAATTGTGAAACAATGTTTCTTCTGTCAAAATAACTAATTGCTTTCACTCAAAAGTTATTTCTATATTTTTCATTTCTTTAATTTTATTCACCACTAAGAAAATATTTCATCCTGCGATATAAATCAGTTTATTCTACGACTGAGCGTAACAAAATATAGAGCCTTTTTCTTTTTCCATTCTTTAACATTATTAAGATAAAATGCGGCCAATTGTTTATTTAATTTCCTCGCAAGGAACGAAATAATTTAC